TACTACACTGCAATGATCTATAAAAAATATACACTAGCATTCAAAAGTTTGTGGAGTGTATGTTGTTTTTAATGTGTTTGAAAGAAGTCGTGGTAACACTTAGGGTTTATTAGTTAGCATTAGTTAATGTATTAAATAACATGAACTAACAATGAGCTAAACATATGTTACAGTATTTATTCATTTATTCATCTAATAATGTATTAGTAAATGTTGAAATTAATATTATCTAAGATTTAATAAATTTTGTAGAAGTGTTCATTCTTAGTTCATGTTAACTAAGGTTGTTAACTAATGAACCTTATTGTAAAGTGTTACCGAAGTCTTTTATGCTCACTAATGCTGCGTTTATTTAATTAAAAATACAGTAAAAACTGTAATATTGTGAAATATTGTAATGTTTTCTATTTGAATATATTTATTGTAGAAACCGTGATCATTTTTTTCATGATTCTTTGATGAATATAAAGTTCAAAAGAAGTAACATTATAAATTTTTGTAACATTATAAATGTCTTTACTGTCACTTTTGTTTAATTTAATGCATCCTTGCTGAAAAAAAAAGTCGTATATGCTATTTTAAAATATATATTATTATTTTAAACTTGTATCCTTTTTAATGCTGACAGTGTAAGATATAAGATGATTGTAATATAGTGTTTCCTTTTGTTTTGTCCATTTGTTGAATGTATAGCCTTAAAGACGACGGCAACGGTAACGCTTATGATAAAGAGTCTCTGGCCATCATAAAGTTGAACAACACCACAGTGCTTTACCTGAAGGAGGTCACCAAGTTCCTGGCTCTGGTCTGCATCCTGAGAGAGGAGAGCTTCGAGAGGAAAGGTACAGACCCGACCGCTCAATCGAGAGCATCAGACTTGTGTGAAGTTAAAGAGTCATTCAGACTGCGGGTCATTTATTTGATTGATTTTACTTTCCTTCCACACCCTAAATAAAGCAGGTAACGGACAAAAAAATGAGACCTTGCATTCGCTCGTGAAATGTTTTCGTTCCTTTAAGAAACTTTGCGATCCTTATTGAGTTCTTTGCGAGCAGAATTTCTTGGGGGGGATACAAACATTTCTGCAGGGGAACGCAAACGTTTTGCGAGTGAACGTAAAGGTTCTTGGGGAACGCAAAAGTTTTGCCAGCGAAAGCAAAGTTTCTCAGGGGAAAGCAGATGTTTTGCGAGCGAATGGAAATTTTTGGGGGGGAACGCAAAAGTTGTGCGATTGAATGTAAAGTCTCTTGGGGAACGCAAAAGAAAGCAAAGTTTCTCACAGGAACGCAAAAGTTTTGCAAACGAACGTAAAGTTTCTTGGGGAATGCAACAGTTTTGCAAGCGAAAGCAAAGTTTCTCAGAGAAACGTGATTGTTTTGCGAGTAAACGTAAAGTTTTTTGGGGGAACGCAAAAGTTTTCTCAGGGGAACGCAGATGTTTTGCGAGCAAACGGAAATGTTTTGCGACTAAACGTAAAGTTTCTTGGGTGAACGCAAAAGTTTTGCGAACGAACATAAAGTTTCTTGGGGAACGCAAAAGTTTTGCAAACGAAAGCAAAGTTTCTGAGAGAAACGGAAATGTTTTGCGAGTAAACATAAAGTTTCTTGGGGAACGCAAAAGTTTTGCAAACGAAAGCAAAGTTTCTGAGAGAAACGGAAATGTTTTGCGACTAAACGTAAAGTTTCTTGGGTGAACGCAAAAGTTTTGCAAACGAAAGCAAAGTTTCTGAGAGAAACGGAAATGTTTTGCGACTAAACGTAAAGTTTCTTGGGTGAACGCAAAAGTTTTGCGAACGAACATAAAGTTTCTTGGGGAACGCAAAAGTTTTGCAAACGAAAGCAAAGTTTCTGAGAGAAACGGAAATGTTTTGCGAGTAAACGTAAAGTTTCTTGGGGAATGCAAAAGTTTTGCAAACGAAAGCAAAGTTTCTGAGAGAAACGGAGATGTTTTGCGACTAAACGTAAAGTTTCTTGGGTGAACGCAAAAGTTTTGCGAACGAACATAAAGTTTCTTGGGGAACGCAAAAGTTTTGCAAACGAAAGCAAAGTTTCTGAGAGAAACGGAAATGTTTTGCGAGTAAACGTAAAGTTTCTTGGGGAATGCAAAAGTTTTGCAAACGAAAGCAAAGTTTCTGAGAGAAACGGAAATGTTTTGCGAGTAAACGTAAAGTTTCTTGGGTGAACGCAAAAGTTTTGCAAATGAACGTAAAGTTTCTTGGGGAACGCAAAAGTTTTGCAAACGAAAGCAAAGTTTTTGAAAGAAACGTGAATGTTTTGCGAGTAAACGTAAAGTTTCTTGGGGGAATGCAAAAGTTTTGCGAACGAACGTAAAGTTTCTGAAAGAAACGTGAATGTTTTGCGAGTAAACGTAAAGTTTCTTGGGGGAATGCAAAAGTTTTGCAAACGACCGGAAAGTTTCTGTTTTGTGAGCAAAGGTTTTGAAATATAATTTTCTCTTTATTTTTTTTCCACTGCCATGTCGCTTTATGGGCTCCGTATTGTTTCTCACATAAAGATGTCTCTGCATATTAAATTCTGTAGTGTGTTAATATGCGAAACATATCTCATGTCTCTATCTTCCACAGGTTTGATAGACTACAACTTCCACTGCTTTCGAAAGGCCATCCACGAGGTATTCGAGGTGAGCAGCTCCACCCAGAGGACGGGAGTGGCGGTGCAGTCCAGCCCCCCCAGCAGCAGCGGTAACGGCCTGTCCCGGCTCAAATCAGCAGCGCTCAACGGTACACCCAGGAGCCTGGTTTAACCCAGGACACACGGACCTCAGAACACAGGCCTTCACACTAGTGCGCTGAACATGCACTAAGGTACACGTGAGATTACTGGAGCGTTTCTCTAGCTATACCTGCAGTTCCAGGACCTGAGAGACACAACAGGACACTCATACAGGAGAGACTACATTGCTGCTTTTTATGATATTTTGGTGTGTGTGTGTGTGTGAGAGAGAGAGAGAGAGAGAGAGAGAGAGAGAGAGAGAGAGAGAGAGAGAGAGAGAGAGAGAGAGAGAGAGAGAGAGAGAGAGAGAGAGAGAGAGAGAGAGAGATTGTGTGCAAACACAACATCAGCTGTTGTAATAGAGGGAAATGGAAAACTTTAGTTTAGCCAACAGAATGAGGCACAATGAAATGGTGTTACACTGAGCAAATCTAGACTCAAAACTAGTGAGCTGCCTATAATTTTTGTATATCCTTGTGTTTAAGGTGGCTAAAAGTGCTGTCTAGGTGTGGCACTCACTACGTTTCGAGGCACTTTCCACTTTTCAGTGGTTTGAGTGTGAATCTCAAACATGTTCAAGTGACATTTCACCAAAAAATCAAAATGAGAAAATTGCTTATGTAATATTTAGCCCGTTTGTAGCTGCATTAAAATGTTTACATTGTTTTTAACAAAACACATTTTACCCAAATTCTCATAATTGCTGAAAGGTAACTTTTTTTGTAATTCTCAGTTTTTCATTACTTTAATGCAGTATTTTTATTGTAATAAATACTGTATTATTTAAATCAGTATAAATGTTGTACGATAAATATGTAATGTATGAGTTCTTTACCATTCAAAATAATATATTTTTCACATTTTTAATGGGAATATAGTTTGTTTTGTTTTTTTACAGTATTAAGAATTTGGTTAAAATGGTGCTTAATTTTCATCAAAATATTGTCACAATGTAACGACTAAATAAAGAAATAGGCTTCATTTTCTTTAAGCAATATCTTTCCTATTTCATTCTTTTGATTTTGGGGTGAAAAATGACCTGGACATGTTAGATTCACCCATGAAACAGATCTGTTAATGCAGTTTCACTCCCTTTTGTAGCAAAATTCCCAGACCACCCCATCTTTAAGATTGCGGTTGTTAATATTGGCCAGTCCTGTGATTGTGTTGGCTGTCGCTGTTATTTACTCCTGACCTACACAAAGGGAAAATAAAGGGAGAAAAGGCTAAAGACGTTTTCGAACGTCATCATGTTTCTGTGAACTTACAGCAAAATGAATCACATACAGAGACTTGTTTAAGCATCAGCCCAGACTAACAGGAAGAGTGTGTTTTGCCATTAAACGGTTTTTCCACAGTTGTGATATACTGAGATATGTGGGAAATAATAATGCTCAAGTTTGTTGAATATGAGATAAAGGTATTATGTTTTCATATGACAAGTCCCAGGGTCCAAAATAACCCTTTTTTCCTTTTTTACATGATTCATTGTTTTAGTCATGTTCAAAAAATCCCCTTTCTTGAATTGATATAATGTGGGATGTGTGTGTCTATGTAAATGTGTGTACAAGAAACTCACTGCTGAATGTGATTGTAGAATGAGTGTGTGTGTTGTTTATTTTCTAATAAAGTGTAAAAGAATAAGATATTAATTTTGTGATTGAATTATAAAGATTATTACTTGTAAAATATCAAGAAAATGATATTTGTTTACTTATGGTATATTTTGTCTCAGAGCACGCTGATAAATTAAAGCTATATTCATTTGAGCCCTGGTCTGAGTCGTGTGTGTGTGTGTGTGTGTGTGTGTGTGTGTGTGTGTGTGTGTGTGTGTGTGCGCGCGCGTGTGTGTGCGTGCGTGTGCGTGTGTGTTTCTCACCTCTAGATGTCGCTGTCCGTTGAATTCGACAAATTGAAACGCATAAGTGGAACTAATCTGAATATAATTCTGAGGAAAGACAACAGCAGTAGATAATGAATTTAGATCCAACACTATTTGTTTTTAATACATTAATTACATTTTTGTAAATGTACAACTCAACTTTTGTTAACTCATGATTAAACTGTTATGCTGTCCCTGAGCAAAATGTCATGAGCAAAAAGTAGCGAGTATGTGGGGGTTTTCCGTAAAGTTATTAAATTTCAGAAGGACATTCCATGTTGCCATGTTGGACAGGCTGAAGAATTAACTTAAAGCTGTTGAAGGTTTAAATATCGTGGTGTGTGTCAGATGTGGGAGGGCGAGAGTGCAAATGTCTCGCCCAGTGGGAGGATCAGTGTGTGTGTGTGTGTTTCATGGGAAAAACTGCAGTAACACCACTGTGTGTCTCACAGACAGACTTTACAGGCTGTGCACAGGGACAGATCAGCTGGACACTTCAATACCACGGTAAGATGTCAACTAATTACTAGTAGACACTATTAATAGAAAAAAAAACGAATTATTCCGTTTTATAAGCAGAATAATAATAATATTGTCTTCTGTTCATGAACTCTTTTTTTTTTTTGTTTCCTGATCTATTAGTTTCAATGGAAACTCATATGTGTTGGTGTATTATGGATTAATTAGTCCCAGGAACCCGTGTGGGTGGGTGTGTGTGTTTATATTTTATTCATTTATATTCTTAATAATTTGTATTATTTATTAGTTGATAATAATCATTTTAAGTTCAGTATACTTTGTTCTGTTACTGTGTGTGTATGGTATTAGTAGCCTATACATTTTAAATTATATAAAAAAATAGAATTACTATTAATTGTATTAATGATTTGTTTTAATACGGTAGTTATTAGAGAGTAGAGAGAGGGGGGGAGCAGTTATCGCTGTTGTCGTGCTGTTCAGTTCAGCTGTGGTAGGCCTACAGTCATTTGGAATAGACTCAAAGTAGTACAGTTTACATTTTCTATAAAACAATGACAGTTTCGTGTGTGTGTGTGTGTGTGTGTGTGTGTGTGTGTGTGTGTGTGTGTGTGTGTGTGTGTGTGTGTGTGTGTGTGTGTGTGTGTGTGTGTGGCACCCCAGGGGTTCGGCGACAAAGGCCGCATGAAAAGTGAGTTATTTTTGTCCAGAATGCAGGCAGTTCTCTCTCACACACACACACACACACACACACACACACATACATACACACAGTGTAAATCCCTGTGTTTCTGTTTCTCACCATACTAAAATGGAATTGGCCCACACTTCTCTATTCCCTAGTGTCTTTTCTCCTTTACAGATTTCCTTTTAAGTAATTACAAAAAGCACTGTGGTAATGCCATGTTGTATTTATATAGGCCTACATACCAAGGTACATAGTACTTCTGAGGTAAAACTATCCTATACCCATAAAATGCTTTTTAATCATTAACATCGTGAATCAATGAAGCTGCTTTAAAACAATAGAGATTCCTCTGAGAGATGGCAGAAATACTTCCCAGATTGTAGTCACTGGAGTTGAATGAGGGGAATTGTGGCGCTCATTCCTGGTGCACATAAATTTAAGGGATGAAGTTCTGTGGACACTCACTGTTGCTGAGTAAGATCGATGGAGCCTGAGTTTTAAGACTGCTGTAAGTCTCTGATGAATAGAAGAGTGCTTCCACCACTGGCAGGATTATATATCTCAAAGTATATCTCTCTTTCCTGGGCGTTAATAAATTAATCACACTATCATGCAGATGAATGATAAAAGAACTACTCAAAAACTCAATGATCTACATTAGGTCCTTATGAAGTCTTTTTGAAGGTTGTGATTTCTTGGGCCCAACTTTAAGGCATGCATAAGCTAAAAACACCACTAAAGTTAAAACAGAACATATAAAAAATTCGAACTCAAAATATAAAAAAAAACTAAAATAGTATTTTTATTATACTGGTCGTTTGACAATGACATTTATTGTAGTTATACTGTATGTTATTATATTTACAAGCCCATGAAGAAAAATCCCAGACAACTATGTTGTTATTGCAATACAGTATTTCAATGTAATTTTAATTTAATTTAATTTAATGTAGCATACCACACCCAAGGAAATTGGGTCAATTTTAATTTCACATTGACAGTATGCATCTTTTTCTTTTGCAATCCAAGACAGATAAAAATTTAACGTGATATGTAATTTAATAGACATTAACATGTTTTAATAATTAAGACAATACATGCTAAAGAAATTTTCTATAACTTCTAATTGGCTACACAATCAAGTGCATACAGTTTTGTCTACCAATAGAATCGCTTTGGTGTCTAAGTGGAAATTGTCTATTTTTAATGGCACAGTTTTTTATCACCCCTTTGAGTACAGAGGTACATTACCAAAAGAGTCACACATTAAGTATGTACTATGGGACCACATGTTTGCAATCAACATTTGTTTGCTTGTGTAGAATAGGCATCTGACCTTATACTGCTACATACTGAAACACGAACTTTGACCTCTCTTTAAAAAGCTGCCTCATTTATTTTCATTGTAATGGCAGGCATGGATGGAACATGGCATTATGGGAAGGCGCCAGTAGGTAAGCATGATGCTTGTTTATAGAGCAGGGTAAATATGGCTTGTAAAAGAGTAATTAAGACTAACTTCTGCATTCGTTCTCTATCCGCAAGCCAACTGTGGTGTCCACACATCGGTTTTTCCACCATCTAAGTGTATGATGTCAACCAGCAACTTCCAGACATACAGCGAATTTGGCACCAAACTTTATATTTCCACTCACATCCAGCAAACACGTCGTTATAAGGTCTGATCGGATGGGTGTGTGTGGAGGTTGGGGGGCTGTGACCACATAATGTTTTTAGTTGGCCCAAAAACTGGAATGCTGTGCGTAATCTTTCTCCGTGAGTAAATGGCAGAAATGTTGGTCTTCTAAGAACTCCGTCTGGTTTTTCTCAGCCTTGAAGAGTGGAATGTGCCATTTTTAGGAAGAAAAATGCCTTTGTTTGCCCTTTTGGTAACCATGAAATTCTTCCCAACCATGGCCCTGACCACAGTGGCATTCCCACAGGGTGGTACAGGGCAGAGAGACAATAGCTGGACACATGCCAGTGAAGAACACTAGGCTTACAGACACACTGCACTAGAAAAAATGAGACCGCTTTTAAATGGGTCGTGACATGAGACATCAACTTTGCCTTGATCTTTTGACATATAAGAGGTCTTTAAACCATTAAAACATCGTAGCTTGAAACGTCCTTCTCGTTATAAACATAGCATTTATTTAAGCAAGCTTCAAAAACAGAGCCGTCTACTTTCTAGTCGCTCTCACTATTTTGAAGTCATGCACCGATTGGTCCGCTTCAAGTCGAACACACCTATTGTGGAATCTGTGACGTCACACGGGCCTTTTCTGTAAATGATGGTTTTATACGGATAATGTTTTTAAAACACTTACTCACAGTGTTGCCAGATTGGAAATATCCAAGACGTAGATCCACAGCTAGATCAATGAGTATAGAAGCACTATGATTACAATGACCTCCGATTGAAGTGTCACAAAATTCAGAAATTATCGTACATTATGGGATTTTTTCCATTATTGATCGTACAGAGGTCAAGAAGATTATCGTACAAATACGATAATTATCGTACGTCTGGCAACACTGCTTACTCATGTTCAATAGCGAGTGGGCATTCATACTGTCATCTATGCTGTGACATTAGCCAATCATAACAGTGGCTGTTTACTGACAGGCCTTAAAGGAGCCGCCCTTTAAAAACTGATCATTTCAGACACGGGTTAAAACGAATGTAGAAAATAATTGTTTTTCCACATAAATATTTGTTATATGTGTGTGCAAAAAAAACTTTATTAACATTATATTTGAAGCTCAAGGAACATTTTTTTTTTTAAATTCCATGTCATGACCCCTTTAGTTACATTAATTTTGTTGTTGTTGAATTTATCTTAAATATTTTAAGTAAATGTATTTACTGAACGTAAAATGTTAGGTTGGCTTGACTTAAATTTTGTAATAATTCCTATGTTATCAATTCATATTGTATCTTCTTCTATAAAAAAATCAGAATAGTTCTGTGAATTTGTTTGTTTATTTTTTATGAAAGTGTTAGAACAATCTGATGTCACCACAGTGTAGTAACAACTAGATTTGAATGTGAGCGGTACTTTCCCATCCAAAACTCACTGCCACGATTCTAGGGTGTTCTGAGTGGTTGCCAGGGTGTTGCTAAGGTATTGGGTGGTAGCTATACACGGAGTTCTTTTTTTGTTAAATACTATTATAGTATTCATTAATATTTTGAATTCTTTTTTATGTTTTTAGTTTAAGTTTTAGTAATTTAATCATTTTTTCTATTACTATTTTTTTAGTTTTAGCATTTCAGTTTAAACTTATTTTATTTCAGTTAGTTGCCAAGGCAATATCTCTAATTCTCATTTAAGTTTTGTTAACTTTAATCTCATTTTTATAGTTTAGTTTTTGACAACAACCTACAATTGAGATGGAGGATGGATGTTTATTTGTTATCATGTTACTATGCCAGGGCTAAAGTAATCTGAGTGGTTGCCAGGGCGTTGCTATGCTGTTGCTATGTTGACTAAGTGGCTGTTTTTGATTAAATGTTGCTATGCATATTGCATATGATGATTGCTTTGAATATTTTGTGGTTGTTGAAGCATGTGGGAAATCATTAGTGTTAAGGTCAAAATCCTGTTGAATTGAAATTCACACCACAGATGAGAATTATAAATCCATTATATTCAGCATATAGTTATTTTACCAATCAAATGTAGTGATTCTGGACCAGGTTTAGTGTCTAAGATCAGTGTAGATAGAAGAGAAAACTTTGTGAGGGAATGCCTAAAGACTGGATAAGGAAAGCAATGTAATCCCTTCTTCTCACATAATAAAACCTGTCTGGCATATACATATGTTTAATACGCATCATATGATGACTGTGTTGTTTGCTAAACATCTGAAGCTGGCTCTAACACGTCCCGTGGCAGGAAGACATATTGTTCTTAAGAGTAAACAGCCCTCCCAAGATCTCAACCAAGATATTAGATTCAGAACTAAACATCTTTTTCATATCCCAAATTGGTATTTATTCTTCAGACTGGAATTTGCACTTTAATCTGCACAAGTTTTGCTTTAATTAAAGTTTGCTTCATTTCCCAGAATTCTTCGTTTTGCATGTCTCATGTTATTCATTCAGAGTCTTTCTCAATTTCTTTATTTTATATACAGTCTGACTGTTTCGGCTGTAACATTTGTAAGAATTAATACTGTAACTACACTAACTCTTCAACTACACTCTTAGAAGAAAAGGTTATATATGGAACATTAAAGGGCATGTCAGGTGATTCATATTTCCATCATGGGGTCATTTTATGGATTTAATGTTTTAATTCATTAATTTTCTTTTAATTCGCATTTCATTTTAATTACATTTTATGAATTAAACCGTTTGTAAACATACTTTATAACGTGAAAAAAATGAAATGACTTATTTAACATGCATTTCTCCTTATATAAAACCTTTTTGGCATAAATATATATATATTTTAATTGAGTCAAGAACCCTATGAACCTTTTTTTGTAAGAGTGTATGAGATTTTAACTTTAATAAAAACAATTTTTTAATTAAACCTAGAATCCTTAGTTTTGCCTTTCTCACTTTTCCTTCTGTTTTAAAAAAAAAAATACTCCCAAACTAAAATTAGAAACTCACAGGCTGAACATCTGTCAGAAATATGGGCAATGTAAGTTTAACTACAAGTTTACACGCAAGTGGACATTGAGTACTTTTTGTGGTATTCTAAATCTGGGATGAATTGAAAATCCACAAACAACATGTTTAATATGTAGATTAGAATGGCTTCAGAAAGTAACATAAAAGTTTTATTACACTGACATTTGGCCCGCAGGTGTTCAATAGCAATAATTTCACCGGCACATAGACGTCAGGAAACAAATAACTACCAAAGTGCACACACACAGAACACAGTTAACCAGCTGGTTAATTTTCCACCCACTGAACAATGGGGTTGGAAACTTTTGCAATTGCTGAACAACGTATGTGCTTCAGTAAGTGTGAGTAATTCTGTGTCAAATTAGGGGTTCATTATATTTTCTTCTCATAACACATGAGGCATTGAATAAGCTGAACTCCAGTACATAGAATACCTGTGGAAACCACATTCAAAGAAAGTTTTTGTTGTTCTAGTGTTCGGTTTTACGGACCATTTAGCAGCGTGTTTCTTTAAAGACCTGCGGCTTGGGGAATATATGAGGTGGAACCAGAACAGAGACGCCCTTCCTGGATTTGCCATTGCATGGGGTCTGTGTGAGTCCGTACTGTTTTTGGATGGGCCGCATCAGGCATCTAAGATCGTCTCATGTGGATCGGAAAATATTCCTTGTTATGCAAAGTCATTAATCTGCACCTTGTGGAGGCAGGTTCAATCATGTGGGAATGCTGTGGAATTTATTTGATTAGTTGTTTGCCAATGTTCTGCTTTAGATGGCAGGCTGACAAGTAGCGTTCTTTTGTAATGAAATCAGGTTTGATCTTTATGGGAGAGGGGTATTAAAAAAGAGTGGAATAAATAAATGTGATTAAAACAAGTTGGTTTGAAATGCAGTTAAATCAGTTCTTTCTTGTCGGCATGTCTGTCTGAATGATCTGATCAGATTATATGTGGTTTTCCATCATTCTGTGATTGGTTGTTACAGTTTTTATCAACTGCTCACACACATTTTGAAAACTTTGCCTCTTTTTTTCAAAACTTTACTCATAAATATTGCACATACACACAAAATGCCTCACATCTCTTGCAAAACGAAGCACTCAAAATATCACAAACACATCTCAAAAGCAAACATTTGTCTTACGTTGCAAACACCTTTGTCTAATATTATATTTTTGGATATATCATATACACACAGTTATTCAAAACCTAAAGCTCTTCTTTCATGAGCTCCTCTGTACATTTCTGTACAAGATTGAACGTAATTGGCAGAGAGGTGTTGAAAAATCCACGGTAATCACGAAAGCAAGATTGAAACCAAACTATTTAATTAATTTTTTTACTGTAAGCATTTGTGCTTGTGAATACAATATTACACAGTCCGAAAAAACCTATAACTTGACCTTTGGCCTACTCTAAAGCTATGATTGGTTGGTGTTCAGTAAAGCAATGAGTGTGAGGAGTGTGTGAGGCACTGATTAATTACTGTGGCATTTTGATAGTTTGTGTTTGAAAAAGGAAATCAAGATACTTCCTGTTAGATTTGTGTGTTACATAGAGAATTGTGTGTTGTGGTTTGCAAAAAGTGTTTTATGAGTCGAAGGCCAAGAATTAGTGTATGGTTTTGCAGATTTGATGTGTAGTTCAGGTGTTTGAGCGTCAAGTTTCAGAAATTGTGTGACAAGTAATGATTTTGTGTGTAAGCAAAAACTGTAAAATGTTTTGATCAGTCTATTATCAGATAGTTTTAGTTGCAGCCCTATGCTGTATAATAATGAGCTAAACGCACAGATCTGTTGTGGTGTGTGTTAACGTTTCCAGTTCTTTTCACTGGAATAAACTGGCTAATTAAATGGCTCAGATGTGCAGACATGTGAGTCATGAAGTGAGCTGTCAGTTAGACGTTTACCGTAGCGAGACACAAAGACTGGAATGTCTGCGTATGGGAACGATGTGATCTGGAAACTGACATATGATTCTCACATTCTTTCTGATTACATTATACATTCCACAACACTTACACATTTGTCTCTCTTATTCCTCTGTATGGGAATTTATCTCTATTTATTTATTTTTTTAATAATTTTGTTAGTTGTTGCTGAATTATTTAACATGTTATGTTATTGGTTAATTGTTTATTTTATTCACTGGATAGTGAATTTATTTTCACATTATTAAGTGTGCATCAAACATGTAAACTCTTTCAATAGTGTTATGTGTGTGATTTCTTTTAATTTATTATTTTATTTTAATTATTTATGTATTTATTTATTTCGTAATTTTATTTTATTTTTTTCTATTTTTTTATATGTTCAGTCGTGCTTAAAAAGTTCCAGGATACATCCTAGGATAAGAGTCGGTTTGTTGATGAATGTCCAAAATGAGCAGAACTGGAATCCAGTCAAAGCAGCAGCATATGTTGGTCACTACATAATTTCAATACTTCCATTTGTGTTAGTTTTACTGTCGTATTGTAAAATATGGAAACTAATGATAATATGACAATGTGTCCAAACAGTTGACTGGTAAACCTCTTGGTGCTCATGAAGGAATGTTCTTGTGTTTATATGAGGAGTCACTCAAAGTCCTGTACGGCATTGCTTTCGTCATTTCTCAACAAAAACAAGATGGTTTGGGGGGAATCTGAGCTATTTCCAGTTTACAAGGCCGTTCACTCGTTTGGGGGTGAGAACAGGATATGAAGAAGGGGGAGAATGCGAAATCACTGTCATGAAAGGGAGTTGTGATGTTCCTGACCCTCGGGGAGTTCTATACATCTCATTAGATCCGCATGTTCTACGATCAGAACGACTCCCACAAAGAATGCCAGAGGAGAGTGGGAATAAGAGTGGGATGAGAGATGCAGGCAGAGATAAACTCAAGCTTGTTTCATTGCATGTCTTAATAGTCTTCCACACATTGTCCACTGACTGAATTTAAACCCATATTAGTGTGCACATCAGGGTATAAGTCATGGAAAGGGGCAAGTAGATGGAGCTGTGGACTGGAGATCTCCAGAGCAGGGTGTGAACACAAAGTCTTTCACCTCCGCCAAATGTCGCTGACTTACTTTTCAAAATAAAAGTTTGTAATTAAGCATAGTTTCTCATGGAGAGTTGAACTGATCTTACATAACATGTTAAAGTTATAAAATGTGCTACATAAATAAATATGCCTATAAATATGCCCTCGAGATTGACGTCTCATGTCCCAGAGCTCGTGGCCAGGGCATAGACTGGGAAAAATAAGACGGTCACTTGGGCACAAGCAAACACTCGGGACATCACTGCACACATCACTGCATGATGAGAACTGCTTAAAATGACAGAAACCATCTTGGGAAAATGATTTGAAGTGTAATTTTGTAAAGTTTGGCTTGTGTCCCATTCGATTACATGGAGAGGATGGGGTTTATGACCTAGGGGTGATCGAAAAGCTTTGGCTTCACTTTTCAGGACTCGTGTGGCACACTTGGGCCAGGGGCTTTTGGACGAGGCTGAAGAAACCTCTCGTCCCCCTGAGTTAGCAACCTCTCCAACACCGTTTTTTAAAGATCCAATCAATTCTCAATGTTAAAAGATGTCCTGCCCTGTTTTCTCATTAAATATCTTGTTTTACTCAGCAATATATCACATTACAGAAGTTTAGTGTTTAGTTTAGGAGATTCAGTGAGTTTTTAGTGTGGGAATCTGGTTATTCTCACGCTCTGTCCAGGACACACACAGTGGACGTCGGTCATGATCACATTTAACACGCATATAGAATGTGACCGCTTGTTTCCCCACTGGATCCTGATGACCATCTGATCCATTAAATCAGAGATAATGGACTAGACTCAGATCCCTAGAGTATCTTTCTTTTTCTTTTTCTCTCTCTGTCTCTCTGTCTCTCTCTCTCTCTCTCTCTCTCTCTCTGTCTCTCTCTCTCTTTCTCTCTTTATCTTCTCTCTCTCTCTCTCTCTCTCTCTCTATAAGGAGGTAAGGAGGATGTAAGGAGTCTCTTTCTCTTCTCTCTCTCTCTCTCTCTCTCTCTCTCTCTCTCTCTCTCTCTCTCTCTCTCTCTCTCTCTCTCTCTCTCTCTCTCTCTCTCTATAAGGAGGTAAGGAGGATGTAAGGAGTCTCTTTCTCTTCTCTCTCTCTCTCTCTCTCTCTCTCTCTCTCTCTCTTCACACACTGTTTAATTTTCTCCAGTCATTTAATTAAAAACCTTCAGGCCCAACAAAGGATTTAATGCTGATTCCGAATCAAAACAGATTCATCACTGATTACAGACTGTATAATTATTTCTGATGTGGGAAGCCTCTCAGATAATTACTCAAAGGTAACTCTATTTAAATCTGTTTTTTTCTTTAGGACTAGAGAGCATCTCAATCCGCTGGCTGTGTTGTCTGAGTCAGAGAGGAGCGGAGCGTCATGTCAGAAGCGTTTGACTGTGACGGATGTAAGGAGTCTCTGTACGGGAGGAAATACATCCAGGTGGACGACGTTCCTCACTGCGTCCCCTGTTACGACCGGCTGTACGCAAACACCTGCCAGCAGTGCAAAGAGCTCATCCAACACAACGCACGCGTGAGTGTTTCACTCAGCATCACTTATGGGATTCAGGTTGACACATATATATTTGCAAAACATCATTTTAAAAGTTATTAATTAAAAAATATATTTTATATATTTTAGATGTAGTTGTAATTATATATGTAAATTATTTATATATATATATATATACCATGGTAGATTCAGTTTCATTATTTAAGTATTTTACCATTATTAAGACATATTAATAAATATTTATAAAAAAAATACTTAAAATAATAGAATAAAAAAACATTAATTTAGTGCTGTCATCTAACATAAAAGTATGTATAATATACAGTATATATATATATATATATATACACACACACATATATATACAGTATATACAAACTTTTGTAAGATGTGATTAAATGTGATTAATCATTTTGACAGCCCTACAAATTACAACTTTTTCTATTTGTATTTATTTTCATAGTACTCAAATATTACTAATATTATATGCTATGTTTTTTATATATATATATATATATATATATATATATATATGCTATGTTTTTTATATAATTAATATAAAAGTAAAACAATATACAGTATAGTATATATATTATATACACGTACTTTGGTGATCCATGGTTGTATTTCAGTACGGGTTTATTTCAAAATACCATAATTTTGTCATGTGATCTACCATCACTGATCCCTGCATTATTTAACCACAACAGTACGGGTTAAAATGCCCTGCAGTACTGGTAACCATTTAGTATCATGGTATGTTTCATGTAGTTTATATCTGATACCAGCACAGTACTTTTTCATAAGTGTTATTATGTGTGTGTGTGATTTGCAAACTTCCTCAGTATTTTTAAACAATTGCTTCCACTTGTGCTGTGTAGTATTTGGATGTGTCTTCATGTGTTTTATGATTGCTCTTCAGTGAGTTTACACACACAGGCATAAATCCATTCCATATACTATTTACAGGAGATGTATCTGTGTATAATTCGTCACAGATTTCCACTCTCACAGCTGGTCACGGTCCCGCGCGACAGACGGCCAATGCAAACAGAGCGCTCACCGTCTGACTTACACATCCACTGGGAGAAAAGCACACTACATAAATACCACTACTACACGCTCTCTCTCGTTCTGTGTTTTTCTCCCTCGTTCTCCATCAGTCATCTGTAGACGTGATGATTTGTGGGTCATTCGGCTGAAAGGACATCATTTATTATATGTGAGGTTTAACAGTTGAGTTTGAGTCAGTGACTCACAGGTCACATGTGACGGGCTGTTGGGTTTCAGAAGTCAAGTCACCTTTATTTATATAGAGTTTTATACAATTCAAATCAGCTTTACAGTGACTTCTTACTTCTTCGCTGGAAGATCTTCGAGAAGACAAACACGAGGAGGTTAAACAGAAGCTTCTGTTCTGTGTTCAGTGTTCATAGCCGTCTGATCTTTGAGAGCTTGGATTAGTGGACGATAGTAAAGCATGTTTTCATTGCGTAGACACTTCCTTTCATGGTAGTGGAAGTGACACAGAGAACAGCAAGATCTGTTTTGCTTCAACATGCTTTTGGTCATAGAACTTCCTGCACAACCAGCTGTGTCGCCTCGTTTCAGCTTTTGTTCAGCTTTGCAGTGACCTTTGATCCAAAATTTGATAATGTAACTGTGATTAAATAGATTTAATTCTATGGACAACATGCAACGTCCCACGTCTTCCTTCTTGATCTGTATCCAGGGTAGTCAAGTCTCATTCATGGTCACAAGATCTAAACTAAATTCAATAATGTTTTAATATAATTTACAGTTGAACTAAATATATATCTTTGTGTTCTTGTGCTGTCTGTGTTCAGGAGCTGTATTATGAGGAGAGCTATTATCACGAACACTGTTTGCGCTGCTCACACTGCAGCCGTTCTCTGGCCGACGAGCCGTTCACCCGTCAGGAAGACGTCCTGGTGTGTAACGAGTGTTACCGTAATGAGCTTTCCTCTAAATGTGTGGCCTGCGCCAAGACTGTGATGCCAGGTATGCACATATTTCATTTTATATATATATACTCTAAAATTAAAAAGTTTGGGGTTAGTAAGATTTTTATTTTATTTTTTTAAGAAAGAAATGTATGCTTTTATGCAGAAAGGATATTTCAAATTGATCAAAGGTTACAGTAAATACATTAATAATATTACAAAATATTTCTATTTCAAATAAATGCTTTTCTTTTACATTTTCTAATCGTCAAAGAATCCAGAATAAAATTATCACAGTTTCCACTTGGGCCTAAATATGAAGCAGCATAACGGTTTTCAACATTACTAATAATAATAATAAATGTTTTTTGAGCAGCAAAACATCATATTAGAATGATTTCTGAAGGATCATGTGACTCTGAAGACTGGAGTAATGATGCTGAAAATTCAGCTTTGATCACAGGAATAAATTACATTTTAAAACATATTCAAATAGAAAACAGTTATTTTAAATTGTAATAATATTTCACAATTTTACTGTTTTTACTGTATTTTTTACATATATACAAAAAAAAAGTTTAAAGTCACACACACACATATATATATATATATATATATATATATATATATATATATATATATAATATTTCTTTCTATAGATTTGAATTGCAGACAAATGTATTCTACTGCTGTGAACATCTCAATCATCAAAAGCGTCTAGCATGTAATTGACTGTATCAGATTGTATAGATTACAAACATAAACACAACAAATATAAAACCTTTCCGATGTAATCCGACAGGAAATGAAGTTTACGTGTGTGTCTCACCCTGCTCGTTAAAGCAGAAACCGAGTTAATGAGTTTTGATTGGGCGTCAGGGTGCAGCAGTAGAGATGTGACAGTGTGATTATAGACACACTCAGCTGAGAGAGAAAACCCTGCGGCCACGCTCACACACGCTCACACACACGCCTCCAGGCCTGATGCCAACACTCGGGCGTTACATTACCCATAATTACACTCCGCCGCCCGCCTCTGTCTCTCTGGAGCTTTTCGGAGAGAAATAAGAGATGCTGAAAGTTCCAGAAGGATAAAATTACAAACTGAAAGTGGCAGCTCTCTCCTCCCTCGTTCATTTGAAACAGACCCGCCGTCTCAGTCCCCTTCTGGGCTCATTTTCACACCCATTCTCAGTCTTTATGAAGAGATCAGGTGATCCAGTGTGGCGTTTTCCCACCAAACCTGTAAGTTACATCTGCAACTTGTGCATTTCCAGATTCCAGATGCATTTTATTGAAATACCAGCCATTGTGGAATTTTCAGCCCACAGCTTTTGCACGCCTCAGAAACAAAACACCCACTCGGGAGGCTTTTGTAGATCCAGGGCAGTTCAAGTTCAACTGTGTGAATGTAGTTGTGTTAGACGGACTGTAGCGTGACATCACACATGTAGTTATTCTCTGCATTTAAAGGCTAATTACTTATCAGACATGCTCAGCCACCCTCAACACAATAAAACACTCGAGCTAGAACCTGTAGTGCTAGAACAGCTGGGGCTGTTTCTCAGAGGAAAGCCAGTGCTGACAGGTACAGGCACATTCACAATGATGTAACCAGATAAAAATGATAAATGCTATGAGATAATGTTTAACTCTTAAATATATATATTTTTTTTTAAAGAAATCAAAATGACAGTTTTGTGGCTTACTTTATCTTATCTTTGAGTTGAATCTAGTGTGCCCCTGTTATTTTAGTATTATTTGTATACTCTATTTATTAACATTTTAAATTGGCTTTTATTTTTATATTTTATATATACGTTTTACTTTTAATTTTGGTATTTTAAGTTTCAGTTATTTTGTCATGTGCTTTTGTCATTGTTCTCATAGTGTATGTTTTTGTTTTTTCTCTATTTAGCTATATATATATACACTCACCTAAAGGATTATTAGGAACACTATATTAATACTGTGTTTGAACCCCCTTTCGCCTTCAGAACTGCCTTAATTCTACGTGGCATTGATTCAACAAGGTGCTGAAAGCATTCTTTAGAAATGTTGGCCCATATTGATAGGATACCATCTTGCAGTTGATGGAGATTTGTGGGATGCACATCCAGGGCACGAAGCTCCCGTTCCAGCACATCCCAAAGATGCTCTATTGGGTTGAGATCTGGTGACTGTGGGGGCCATTTTAGTACAGTGAACTCATTGTCATGTTCAAGAAACCAATTTGAAATGATTCGAGCTTTGTGACATGGTGCATTATCCTGCTGGAAGTAGCCATCAGAGGATGGGTACATGGTGGCCATAAAGGGATGGACATGGTCAGAAACAATGTTCAGGTAGGCCGTGGCATTTAAACGATGCCCAATTGGCACTAAGGGGCCTAAAGTGTGCCAAGAAAACATCCCCCACACCATTACACCACCACCACCAGCCTGCACAGTGGTAACAAGGCATGATGGATCCATGTTCTCATTCTGTTTACGCCAAATTCTGACTCTACCATCTGAATGTCTCAACAGAAATCGAGACTCATCAAACCAGGCAACATTTTTCCAGTCTTCAACTGTCCAATTTTGGTGATCTCTTGCAAATTGTAGCCTCTTTTTCCTATTTGTAGTGGAGTGGTACCCGGTGGGGTCTTCTGCTGTTGTAGCCCGTCCGCCTCAAGGTTGTGCGTGTTGTGGCTTCACAAATGCTTTGCTGCATACCTCGGTTGTAACGAGTGGTTATTTCAGTCAAAGTTGCTCTTCTATCAGCTTGAATCAGTCGGCCCATTCTCCTCTGACCTCTAGCATCAACAAGGCATTTTCGCCCACAGGACTGCCGCATACTGGATGTTTTTCCCTTTTCACACCATTCTTTGTAAACCCTAGAAATGGTTGTGCATGAAAATCCCAGTAACTGAGCAGATTGTGAAATACTCAGACCGGCCCGTCTGGCACCAACAACCATGCCACGCTCAAAATTGCTTAAATCACCTTTCTTTCCCATTCTGACATTCAGTTTGGAGTTCAGGAGATTGTCTTGACCAGGACCACACCCCTAAATGCATTGAAGCAACTGCCATGTGATTGGTTGTTTAGATAATTGCATTAATGAGAAATTGAACAGATGTTCCTAATAATCCTTTAGGTGAGTGTATATACAGTGCTGGTCAGAATTATTTGCCCCCTTGGTAAATCAAATATGGCTGTAAAAAAATAAATCATTGTTTATCCTTTTGATATTTTATTTAAAAAAAATGCAAAAATCTAACCTTTTTTTGGAGGGGAAAAAAAGTAGGTGGAAAATCACATTATGAAATAAATGTTTTAATAAATGTGCCTGATAAGTTTGGAGAACACCTGACAAGAGATCAGAGAACATTCCTCCATACAGAATCTCCAAACACGGCCCGTTATAAGATTTCTAGCAGAGGTTGTCAGGTTTTGATTTTTTATCTGTTGGTATTTGATCGAATCCATGATACAAGATGTCCAGGACCTCTGGCAGAAAATTAGGCCCACAGCATTAAAGATACTGTCCCATTAGTTGCATTGTGTATCTTACATGAAGCTAAAATGGTTTAGTTGTGTTGCTCTGCTCAGTGCTCACTCTCACTGCAGATGAAGTGTTTAACAGTTAGTTTGAACAGATGTCGATCTCTCAGGCTGTAAGCGGCTGGAGTACGGAGGCTGCTCGTGGCACGAGGAATGTTTTGTGTGTTGCGGCTGTGAGAAGCCCATCGGCGGACAGTCGTTCATCCCAGATAAGGATGAGTTTTACTGTGTGCCCTGTTACGAGGGACGATTCTCCCCCCGCTGCGCCCACTGCAAACAGGTGAGAGGAAAACTGACACTCTTAAAAATAAAGCTTCTTCATTGATGTTGATGATTCCAATTTTGGGATTTTAGCCTTTTTGGCTTTTCATAACGTGTTGTTTCAGAACAGTGGAAAGAAAACATCCAAAATACACTTTTAAGTGTTTATTTATCTATTTGCATCTACAGATTTCAATTACAAATCATATCTTTAAAGGTTGCTTTTTTAAAATAAGTTTTCTTTCCTCCAGTTCAGTAGCACTTACATATACCAAACATTACAGTTTTATTCATATCTATAATCTGAAGGTTTTTACTGAGGGGTTTGTTCATATATCATTTGCCCTAATACTATACAACAATTTAATCTTAAAAACATGGTGAAAATGTATGTATTAACAGTATTTGCTGATTTATGGAGTGATACAAAGAGAAAACCTAAATCCCCTCTAAAAACCTTTGATTCTAATGTCAACAAAATGAAACAAGAATTTTGGTACCTGACTTCATCCAATATTCAGATTTTTGTTTTGGAGTTTATGCAAATGAGTGAATAGCTAATTATAGAATGCCACATTTGCATATTTATTTAAACATAATATTTCCGAACACGTACAAAAATGTTTAGAATTCTTAATGTATTCAATCAACTCAGAAAGTATTTGGTGATATTTATTATAGTTAATTTTTTACCATATTTATGTGTCTTGCCGAATTCAAAATTGTTCACTGAATGGTTATTTGGGATAATAACCATTCAATGGTTATTCGCAGAAAAAAAACACTTTGGAAATTTTATTTTTAAGAGTGTAAACTACACATATCTGAAGATTAATCTAAATATTGAGTATTTTTGCTTTTACTTCATTGCCAACCTCTGTAAGTTGTATGCAGTGAATGACAGTGTCTCTGCTGGTGTCGTCTCTCACAGATCTTGGTTCAGGGTGGCGTTACGTACAGAGACGAGCCCTGGCATAAAGAGTGTTTCTTGTGTTCGGGTTGTAAAGTCCAGCTGGCCGGACAGCCTTTCACAACGCAGGGTGAAGATCCGTTCTGTGTGAAGTGCTTCAGTAACCTGTACGCCCAAAAGTGTGTCGCCTGCGACAAACCCATCACAGGTCAGTGTGTGTTAATGTGTCCTTATAACAAGAGCGCTCTTCATTAGCAGTTCCTTCAGCTGATAACAGAAACACTGGCAGAGACAAGAGACCGTTGTCACATAAACAGGGTCATGTGTGTGTTTGAGGCTGTTGAGTGTGTTTGAATAAAGTTCTGCTTGAGCATCGGGACTCAAGAGTCTCTCATCCACCGGCTCTTGCACTATGACAATATAATATCTAACACAAATATCTAACTGTTTATATGTTTTAACCCTAAAGCCTACTGTATCATATTTGATACACACATTTCTAAAACATGATCAAAACTTTGCTGAACACAATCTTCTACATGCCATCTATTGTATAAATAATAGTTTATACATTTTTAGCAAATAAAAGGCCTTTTAGTGTAATTCCTTACATTCCTTCCAATTCCTTATAAACAAAATTATCTTTTTTTAATACATTACAGATAATTTGAGCTTTATATTCTCACTATATCATATCTTTAGCCATAAAGCCATAATATATTGATATCATAAAATGCAAAACAAAAATGTAAGGAAATGCTCTGGTTGTCATTAAAGAGAGATTTTTTTGATTTACTGAAACTCGTGTCATTCCAAACCCATATGACTTCTTCTGTGCAACACAAAAGAAAATGTTACGCAGAATGTCTATGGTGCTCTTTTATATAATGAAAGTGAATGGAGACTGGGGCTGTCAAACCCAAAAAAAGTGAGTAAATAATTTTTAAAAAGAACTACACAGTAAGAAAATAAAATCCATAAAAGACAGAAGAAACATAAAAGACAATTAATATAGTATCTGTTAAGTTCACAGACTTTTCTATTAGCCATAAATCACAACAGAAATGCAATGCATAATCCAAAAACGGGTAAAACGCCTGTGAAACATCAATACGGAAAATCCCTTCATTAAAGCTACAATATGTCATTTTTTTCATCGCTAAGAGACTAACTGTAGATCAACATTAGAATAACATACTGATCATATTCCAACATTTCATCATGTTGAGTTATATAACATTGATTAGTTTTATGTACATTTGCTCACCTGTCTAATAAAGCTCCTGCAAGAGCGGCGTCTCCGTCAAGTCCATGTTTGCCCCGAAGCTCTCGCCATCTCGAAAACGCCACGCGTTGATCCTCTTTAGTTCTGCTTTTGTCCCAAAGTCTGCTTGCCATGATCCATTATGTTTGAACAAAACAACAACTGTGCCGCTAAACATTACACTGTTGTCCACATCTGTCGCCATGGTTACTATGGCAGTACAAGCGTCATGAAACCCCAAACCAAATTTTCTTTGTTTTTTTTTAACAGAGGTATGTGTGTTGAACACCATTGAAGACCATGTTAGCATCAGTTAGATTTAATAGTACGGTTAAAATGGTTAAAGGCACACCGCGGAACTTTTGGCCACTAGTGGCGCTCGATCTGTAACTTTCACGTCTAGCGTCCCTAGAGGCCACAAGCTCCGCAGCACTGTCGCAAAAGTCAACAAACAATCAACCGGTCAGCCCATAGACAGTGGGTCAGCCTCCCGTGTCTTTAGATTGTGTGCAGTGTTTGAGGCGGGCAGCCTTGCCGCGCTCGATTCCCTTACACTGCACACGTCTGCGGCGCATTACGGCTGCGACACGGCTACCGGAGCTGATCGCGGCCATTCTAGTCAATGCGTGTGTTTACACCGGCCGCGAAGCGGCGCGTTTCAGAAGCTTCCCAGAAGTGAGTTGGCACTGTGTGAAGGACGGAATAAAACCGTGTCGCAGCCGTAATGCGCCGCAGACGTGTGCAGTGTAAATGAGGGGTTATAGCAGTCTGCTGAGAGAGAGCGAGCGGGGCGAGCCCCGTGGGGCTTAGTGCTAACATGTCTGTGAGTGAATGTGGGCGCGGGACGGCGGGCACATTTCTACTGCACTAAAAACACCGTCGGCCTGAGCTGACTGTAACTTATGTGTTGGTTTCGTTTTACAGAAACCGTGGGACATGTTGTGTGTAGTGTTTGTGGGCACTGAGTCGTGGGCACGTTCACTACATTTAATGTACATTTGACATGAGTCGACTATTTGTGCGAGCCCTGCACTGTGGCGGGCTGTGTTTGTGTGTAGAAATGAACAATGGGCTGTGGGCATTTTATTACACTCATAACACCATCGGCTGTGGCCGGAATACCAGAAAATACTACACTACTTATATGATTTATCTGGGTCACCTTGGAAACAGCATTTGTGTGCAGGCAAGCGTCAGCATCGGTCGGGCACCCCTCCTCCTCCTGTAGCTCACGCCAGCGAGCGAACGCTGGACCAATGGTGATCCTCGTCCGGGCTTTACATTTGTCACTATGCTTTTTCTTTTTTTTTTTGGTGTCCTCTGACAAAACCTTTGCCTTCTTCCTTGTGGCTGTTGGTTCGGCCATGACGAAAACATACAGACGGCAATCAAACGCGAGTTGAGCACTCACGTCAGAATCTGAGGAAGTTGTGGGTGGTGGGGGAAGTGACGTATGCCGTAAAGCGGTTGAATTTTGTAGTTCTTTTTGTGCTCGGGTTCCTACCCGAAACCCGAAGTTACATAGTGCTAGGAAAAGCGATACAAACACCTTCAGGCTACGGCAGACGTGTCATTCAACCTATTGTAAGTCGATGTACCATCTCAATGGGTTTTGGTAATATATTATAAAGGTTGAAAAGTTCCACAGTGTGCCTTTAAATTTGAGTTTTTTTCCGCTTTTTTCGTCTTCCGGGTTTAAAATCTTCATCGTGTCCACGTCACAGGCTGTGACGTGTCAGTGCACTGCGAGTGCGTTGATGACTCATCAGGGTCTCATAATTATTAATGAGACTGATTTTTCATATCCTATGAGAAGACACTGTCTCTTAATTATTCATGACACCACGTGGATCTTTCCAATGACAGACATGTCAAACTGTGATATCGCGTAGTAGATGAGAGAGGCAATCATGGGACGCAAGTGTTTGTTTTCGTGGTGCAAAAGTCCAAGTGGGTTGAATATGTTTCCCCGCGATGCTGCCAGGGCTAGACTCTGGCTCTGGACAGTTGGTTTGCCATCAACCATGGACACATCTAAACTATAGTGTGTGCCGCAAACAGAGAGCTTCGAGAAGTGGAGAATGGTGGACTTCGCCTTGTTGACAACCAATGCAGGTTGCGTCTTTCGAGTGATGCGGTACCAAGTCCCGATGACTTTTCTATCCCTTCAGAGGGGTGTGTGTGTGTGTGTGTCTAAAATGAGAAGTCATCCACCTCCGCAGAGCCATCTTTATTATGGGGGTTTAGGGGACGCGTAGATCTAGGCTATGCACGGAACGATTTTTTTAAGCGGAAAATTAATGATTTTCAAATGCATTTATAGTGTCAATATAAGCCACTATATATTTTATAATGACATTATAATTATACATGTAGCCTACAGCAATATGTTTTAAATAGAATTACGATTACTGTAGGCTAATATATGTAGCAGGGCATTCAGTTACCATCGTTTTATCACTGCTTTTTTGTCACAATCGATATGCATGGGACATTGGTGCTGACAGTGATGGCCATTCCACACCCACTCCCCTCCCTTCTTCTCACAGCTGTCCACGCCCATTTAAGTTGCATTTTTCAAAAAGATTGTGAGCTAGACTTGAGCTGAAAGAGGGGGGTTTCATGACCCTTTAAAGGGGTCATATAATGCCATTTTTGTACAAGCTAATATGATTCTTTAGGGTCTAAATTAAAACTTTGTAATATACTTTAATTAAGAATTCTCATTAGTATTGTAAGAAAACACTTATTTTACCTGGTCAAAAACAGCTCTGTTTTCAGCACGCCGTTTCAGTGCATATGACTTTAAATGATCTTGAGCTTTGCTCACCCCGCCTCTCTGTTCTGTGTGTGCACCGTTTGTAACACAATAACACAATAACCATAACGCGTTGTTCAGTATAAACGTGGGATTATGAATTATATTGAGAACGTCGTACATAGAAAACATGCCGTAATGTACCCTGAGTGTAAACCTTAGCCGCATTCATTGTGAAGCGTGCAGCTAGCGATTTGCAAAGATATAAATATTAATATAAAGTTTAATAAAATGTTACACTCACTTCAGTTCTTCTGGAGATTCAGCAGGAACACGAATATCTGGTACCGATTCTTTTATTCATGGCAGCTTCTTCCTTTATTCGAGCAGCTTCTTAGCAAATCCAGCTTTATACTGACGTTCGTTTATAAAGCAGTCTGGTGTGAAATGATTCGCGCAAACATGAACGCATTGACGTTGCTCGTGGGGAATATTCCCTTCGAAAACAAACTCAGCCACTGCGTCTTCAGCGGTTCGGATTTGGGAACATTAAAATGACTGCTGTGTTCGTTATTACACCCAAGAACAGAACACCACAATCGCTTAGACGCCATTCTGCTCATAGACAGTGCTCCAGCATATCAACAATGACCGCGCCGGTCCGCGCAGACTATGATTGACAGCTCTCACGAGCGTGGGCGGGTCTGTGTTGAAACACACCAGTCAATCAACAATCGTGGGAGGGGCGTCCGTTTTATTGACGTCACAAAAACGAACGGCACAATTTGAGGCAGGGGAAAACATATAAGGAGATTAAAACAAAAACACTGGATGGATTTTTATCATTTTATGATGGTTGTGTACAGACACTGCCAACACACATTTCAGTACAATCAACTTGTAAAAGTACATGTACCATTATATGACCCCTTTAAAGGCACTATTTAAAATTTCTCTGAATTGACAAATTCTTGGAAACATTTAGGATAATGTAAGTACACAATTGAAAGAAATATATAACACTGTGCATGTGGTTTTTGGATATTTTGATACAAAATTCTTACATGTTGTACCTTTAACACATTGTGCCATATTTTTACAGACTTTTCTTAGAGTGTGACCTTATCGATGTTCATGAACAATTTAAATGATGTTCATTTGAAATGATGATAATGTTGTTTTAGAGATTTTGGAAACTCCTCTCCATCTTGTTGTCAGGTTTTGGAGAAGGGAAGTACGTGTCGTTTGAGGATCGTCAGTGGCATCAGTCGTGTTTTAAGTGTTCTGAGTGTTCGGTGTCTCTGGTCGGCGCCGGATTCTTCCCCGACGGGACAAAGATTCTCTGCAAAAGCTGCAATGCCAAATAATTCAAAACTGCTTCTGTAGATGTGCTGAAGAACAAACCGTTGTGTAATAGAAACACATTTATGAAACGTTTGACATAATTTATACATGTATAATGTACATGAAAGTTTAGGTTACATTCTCCCAAATCTGTATGTTAAAAATCTCTAAACTAGAATGACACATTTGATTGGGTAAATGTATGGTTACACTTTATTTTAAGGTGTCATTGTTACAGTGTAATTATATATTTAAGTACTGAGTAATATTAAAGGGGTCATATAATGCCATTTTTGTACAAGCTAATATGATTCTTTAGGGTCTAAATTAAAAGTTTGTAATATACTTTAATTAAAAATTCTCATTAGTATTGTAAGAAAACACTTATTTTACCTGGTCAAAAACAGCTCTGTTTTCAGCACGCCGTTTCAGTGTATATGCCTTTAAAAGATCATGAGCTTTGCTCACCCCGCCCCTCTGTTCTGTGTACACCGTTTGTAACACAATAACCATAACGCGTTGTTCATTATAAACGTGGGATTATGAATTATATTGAGAACGTCGTACATAGAAAACATGCCGTAATGTACCCTAAGTGTAAACCTTAGACACATTCATCGTGAAGCGTGCAGCTAGCGATTTGCAATGATATAAATATTAATATAAAGGTTAATAAAACGTTACACTCACTTCAGTTGTTCTAGAGGTTCAGCAGGAAGACGAATAGCTGGTACCGATCCTTTATTCAGGTGCAGCTTCTTAGCAAAACCAGCTTTATACTGACCCTCGTTTATAAAGCAGTCTGGTGAGAAATGATTCGCGCAAACATGAGAGCATTGACGTTGCTCGCGGGGAATATTCCCTTCGAAAACAAACTCAGCCACTGCGTCTTCAGCGGTTCGGATTTAGGAACATTAAAATGACTGTGTTCGTTATTACACCCAAGAACAGAACACCACAATCGCTTAGACGCCATTCTGCTCATAGACAGTGCTCCAGCATATCAACAATGACCGCGCCGGTCCGCGCAGACTATGATTGACAGCTGGCTCATGAGCGAGGGCGGGTCTGTGTTGAAACGATGCTGTCAATCAACAATCGCGGGAGGGGCTTCCGAGCTTGTGACGTCACACGGTCGAACGGCTTGATTTGAGGCAGGGGAAAACATATAAGGAGATTAAAACAAAAACACTGGATGGATTTTTATCATTATATGATGGTTGTGTACAGGCACTGCCAACACACATTTCAGTACAATCAACTTGAAAAAGTGCATGTACCATTATATGACCCCTTTAAGTAACTACATGTACTTATAGGGATAGGGTACGATTAGGATTTTGGTTGAGGGTTAATTTCATGTAATTATGCATAATTTACTGTTATTATGGTAAGTACATGTAACATATGTAACAAGGACACTGTATAATAAAGTGTTACCAAATATATTTGATGGTTTAAATGATAAACTCAAATCATTTGAACATTCATGCCTTAGTGACTCATAGTTTTGATTTTACGTTTGAGTAATTTTCCATGTGTTTGCATTAACATCAGGCCTTTAAATTCCCTCCAACAGCAACATTCCTCAATGAAACTTACATCTGAACAAAACACACACTGAGTGTTAATATGTGAGGTGTGTGTTCAGCGAGACAGGATTGAATCATGTAATAATGCTTTAGAATCTGGACAGAAAATGTTGTTTGTATGAAACAGTGAATTTTACAGTTCACTATTTTAATGCACGTGCATTGGTGTTTTATCCATTCATTTTTAATAAGTCTCACATGAAATATTCACATATTAATAATGATATTACAGGTGGCTTCCAATTTGTGTTTCAAAAGAATACTTTTAACTTTGTTTTTAAATGTTTGATGTATTTTTATGAATGGTTTCATGTAAAACCGCTTGTGTGTTGTGTTTCCTTACATAAAATGTTTGTAACATATATAAAACAACAACTTTCAAATATCATTTGAGGTTTAGTCAAATGATGTTTTCTCTTTAAATAAAATGCAATGTGCCTATACATTTCTGAGACAAAATATGCAAAGTTTATGGAAACCCTGCATATATACAGTAACTCCACCCTAACATCTCTAATCATGAATAAACCCTTCATGTGAAGTTCATTCTAACTGCTTCTAGTTACACTCGATTTTAAATCTTGTGTGAAACATTTATTTTTTACCCCTTTACCAGATGCCACATTTCTGACTGTTTTTTTTACCTTAAATAAAGGCATGTAAAACTAAAAGATGACGATGGAACGTGTAATTGGTAAAGATTGATGGCAGAATTACTGCAGGTTTTTCACTGCAGGATGCTGAAGCTCAAAGATCAGGAAGTTCAGGGACTTCAGTGAGGATTTGCTGAATCCAACAGGACAATATTTGAAGAACGACACAATCACTGATCAGACTTTACACACACATCCAGTGCAAAAGATGGAGTGATGGAGACACTAAGGTCTTTAAAAGGTAAGGTCTGTGATAGAGGTTTAATGCTGATAATGCAGCTTGGTTTGGCATTTTATTAATGACTGCCAAATTCATCTTAAGTAATAGGCCTACTTCATATAAAAAGGTCCTGATACAAAAATATGAGGATTAAAAACATCACAAAGCAGAAATAATCTTTCCAAACCCTTTTATAAACATAATCTGCAGCCATTGGTTTAAGAGATTCTCATGACTCTTCTGTTAGATGCAGTTGACTGTTTATGGAAATATGAAAATTGTGTCTTTGTCCCAGGAGAGACTCCGGGTCCCATTAAAGCCGTCCTCTGGGGTCTTTGGTTTCATCTTGTGTCCTAAACCTCAGTGGACGAAACATTTGTCCTGCCGTCTCTGTTAAAACCATCAGATCTAAACAATCACTCAATCCATCATGTGTTAATACACACTCAAACACAAACAGTGCATTAAAATGTGGATCCAATACATTCATTCGTTATAGAATAGTGCAGGCATCATTATTAATCATATTTAGGACTAAAGATGCACGATAAAAAAATCAATTACCAGACATAGCACTCACAAAAAACTATTTTTAACCAAGTAAACTAAATAAAACAAAATCACTAAACAAATCAAACTTAAAAGTGATATTTCCAGGTTTTCCATGAACCTCGTTATATTGTATCTATTTTCTGATTTGAAACTATATAGCGCCACCTAGTGAACATTATCTACAGTAATGCTGTAGCACAGGGGCCTCAGAGTGTCTTAAAGGGATAGTTCACACAGAAATGAATTTTCTGTCATCATTTACTCGCCCCAAACCTGTATGAGTTTCTTTACTGTGACTGGTTTACTTTATAGAGATAAAGTCGTCTACTCTTTCTCTCAGGACACAGAACAATGTGAAAAGGCCAGAATGAGACTTGCTTTTTTTAAATGATGACCTTATTTTATCACCATCTACTGTAAAAGGCAGCTGTGCTAAATTTTAATACAATAATACATTAAACAATAAAAGGCTTCTTTAATAGATTAATCTCTACTGAAAGAAGGAAAATCTTTATAAGGTTTCATTTTATAAGGTACTCTTTACTGCATCAATAATAAAAAAAAGAGCATTTAAATGAATCGTTGAGGTGTTGAAATTTGTCTATTATTCTATTCTTATGGTTAAGCCTAGTTTTATCACAGATAAACATTTGACATGGTGCCTTGGTAATACCCTTACGAAACAAAAATATATTGCAATATACTAGAATTTATATTGCAATACATTAGAAAATATATTTCAATATATCAGAAACTGCCTCATATATTTGAAAATATATAACAATATATGGATGGACAACCTATTGCTATATATTGATTCATATATTAAAATACATTGATATACAAACAAAACTGTATTACATTATTGCATGTATGTTTATTGAAACAAAGTATTTTTTTTATGAGTTAAGTAAGCTCATGCATAGGTTTACAGAAAGGTTGATTAACAATAGTCCAAATCAAATTTTTGCATGACATTCATTATATTTTACATTATATAGCCATATGGATGGACCATTCTAGGGCCGGGACTTTAACGCGTTAATTAAGATTAATTAATTACAGACTTTAACGCGTTAATTAATTACACAAATTATTTTAATCACACTTAGTTTTGCACCGCGGAACGTTTCTCACTGGATGAGTTTCGGCGGACCGATTATACTGGCGCACCAACTAGCGTTCATGATGAAGAAGCTGACGAGATCGCTTGCTTCATAGATCGCCTAGATCGCTTTGGTTGGCCGGTGGGAATTTTTGTTATAAAAAGCGAATGGATGGAAGCGTCGATAAGAGCATGGTTGTGTGCAATGCAACAAGGAATTCGCTATTGCTATTAGTGTAGTGTAGCAATATGCTACTACACTTAATGGCAAAAATTGTACTGGTCTGCTGGACACTTAATGGCAAAAATTGCACTGGTCTGCTGGACTTGGTTGAACAAAAATAAACTATGTTGTTGATTAAGCTTATGTATTCAGTCATTATTCAATAGTATACTGAAAATCCATGTGAAAAAAATTACTTCTCACTGTTCTCAGGTCAAATATTTATGCAATTAAAATGCGATTAATTTCGATTAATTAATTACAAAGCCTCTAATTAATTAGATTAATTTTTTTAATCGAGTCCCGGCCATATATTGTAAAATGTAGATGAGAGTATAAATTAAATTATCATTAACAGCAACAATTACAACATTTTTTAGTCCACTTTTTATTCCCCCACATGGTAAATTATTGTATACAATATATAATATGATAATTATATATAATATATTATGTAATATAAATCAATATATTTTTCAACATATTTAAGACATGTTTGCATATATATCTGATTATATTATCTGGTACATTGAGGTATATTAGCTCATATAATTTTACATATATATTTTCACATATATACAATGCCTCTTCCAATATATAATTTCATATAATATGGGACATATTTCAATATACCTAACAATATATTAAATAGTATAATAATATGTATTTATTCAATATATGAAAACGGCAATAATTGCAGTATTGTCCCATATATTGCAATATATTATTGCATATATATAATATATTATTATATAATATATCATATGATATATTACAATGTAAATTTCACAATATATGGAGACACATGAAATATATT